GGCTTTTGTTTTATCCTTGGCTGAACTTCACTGTCACCGTGTTGTCCTGTCTTTAGCTGTACAAAACACACAGGAGCTTGAATACTGTAAAGGCTTTCTGCTGGCTGCTGTTAGGTGAGTGCTAAACTCTGCTGAAAATGGTACGTGTCACATCTCCACTCTCAGAGGCATGTGTGTGTTTCTTCTCCACTGCGTTCTGTAAGAAGTAGGTCCTTGCCAGGCACAGAGCAGCACTACAGTGGTTGTCTTGTACTGCCAGAAGGATGTGGTCCTTTGTGGTGTATTCTGCTGCTCTGCTGAGGAGGTGGTATGGCGTGGGGAACAAAGAGATGTCCCAGCTTAGCAGAGTGTAGTCAGGAAACACCCATCATTTTTTGTAGGTGATGAAAATGTACCTCTGTTGGGAAACTGAACCTTTTTGTAATTGAATCCAAAATTAAGAAATCAGGCTGAGTTTTTGTGGGGAACGTGCATGTGCCAGATGGTCGTCCTTTACTCACTGGCTTTCTGCAAGTATCTGGAGTTTACCAAAGTCATATATTATTATTTCTCAGCTATTAATCAACGTTTATTGTAACTGGCTAAACTGAGGAGCAAGGGGCAAAGCGAATGACCCTTGTTAGTCACGGCAGGTGGGTTGAAGTAGCTGGGTCACTTTTTATCCTTACCCTGCAAAAACCATTTGACAGCAGTCAACAGTCTTACCGATCTTCTTATGTTCCTGAAGGGAAATATCTTCCTCTTCCCATTACAGTTTTGAAGCCTTTATTGCAACTAATCCTACAGGCACCGGGTAAGAAAGTTTAATACCCATCAGGTTACTTGCTGTGTAGCAACCTACAGTGTAGGAAGGCTTAGTTCGCACATGTGAAGTATTACATCTATTAGAGCAATCTCCCCATCTCTTGCATGAGTACGTGTTGAGAATCCAGACATCCAGCAGAACTGGCAGTGACAACAGGAGCAGCTTGCTCTCGTCTCATGCTCTCTGGAACACTGTCCTCTCAGGCTGGTGGTGGAAGTGGAAGCAGTAGATTTCACCAGTGTCTGAATCTAGCCGTGTGGGCTCATGTCTCTGGGTATTTGTCAGTGTCCTGCTGCTCTCACACAGAATTGTTAGGTTTTGCTGCACTTGTCGGCAAGTAACTTTGTGGGAGTGGAGGTGGAAGAACTATGCTTCTGCTTTTGAAGGTCCCTAAGGCTGGCGGTCTCAGCCCGAGTGGCTTCACCAGCTCAGAGCTCAAGACAAGGGGTTAAGCTTACACGGCCTAAAAATGCTAAGCCTTGCTGGGGCAGGAGTGAAAAAACCAGGCTGCATTCAAAACGCTGCTTGCCATTCCCCAGGCAATTTGGGCCCGAGCGAGGGGAAGGTCACATAAGGTACTTGGCACATGCCAGGGAGTGCATATGGGGAAGGAAGCTTTGTTCTGCAGGCCGAGCCCTGCCTCGACAGCAGGTAGGAGGTGACCGGGCTGCCGCAAGGCTGTGGCCTGAGCTCTCCTCGGGCTTTGTCTGCCATGCAGATGAGATGGAGATCCTCCGGCTCAGCGCTGCTCAGCTTCCCCTTGTTGACTTGGTGGAGGGACTGAGGGGAGCGGGAAGGAGGGAGGGAGGGGCTTCGTTATATTGTTTCTTTTCCTTTGAGTTGTTTTTTACCCTCTCTATGGGGAGATGGGCTTGATCCACTGGTTTTGGATTTCTGAGGCAGAAGGCAAGGCATGACCAGCTGGTGTCTTGAAATGGCACAGGTGCAATGGCTGCGGGAGGGGGGAGCCAAGAATAATTACAGGTTTCTGAAGCATCAGGCTTTGCCTGAAAAGGGCTCATCGAGAAACTGCTCTTTATGGAAAATTAATGGTGAAGCTAAAAAAACTGTCAGGCCTACTATTGTTATCGCTGGGCTAGTGGCGCCTTAAAGGAGCAGCACCTTCTGCTTGCACCCATGGGCCCCAGAGCCAAAGTGCAGCTTTCTGGTCTTGGCAATTGAAGTCTCCTGCCACTGTTGTCACGTTTAATGGCTTTCAGTCCCAGTCTCCTCCTTTTTTTTCCCCCACTTCTATCCCTAATTTCTGATTATGTTTTTATTTTACTTTGGAAGCCTTCTATTTATTAGCCCCCGATCTATTTCTGCCCCACTGGATTAAGGCTAAGTGAGACAGAAAGCCCAAATTACATGATGTGGAGAGTTAAAAAGCATCGCTTCTTTTGTTTTGTGTGTGGGATCAATCCTGGAGAACTGTGGGGTTCACGTGGAAAGCTACCCCCAAATCCCTTAATTCATCTATGGAGAGGCCAGATCCCCACCTACGGCCATTCTCCAGTCCCAGAACTGCATGTTAAGTAGGCTTTTTGTGTCCACAAGAGCAGCTCTCCATTGTTACTGTGAGCAGCCCCAGTATGGCTTCCCTCATTGCTGGTACCAAAGTGTCTGCTTTCCAGGGGGAGGAGAGTGAGCAGGGTCGGTAGGTGCTGGTGCTACAGGGACAGCATAGGGGCTGTCCTCAGGAATGAGATCAGATGGACCTTCGGAACAGGGCACTCCTGAGTGAAAGCTGAAAGCCTTCTCCCCTGCCCCTGTCCCTCAGGGGAAGTCCTTGGCCCCAAGTTAAGGTGGGTTCAAGGTGAAAAGGTTCAGCTGTCACACAAGCCAGCAAGGTTAGGTTGCAGCAGAAGCAGATGCTGTGACACCTCGATGTGAAGCTTATTGCTGATTCCCATCATTTCCAACTTTCTGCTGTGCTCAGGAAGTAGGGTAGCCTCAGGGGCAGCCCAGCGGATGTACAGGGCCAAGTCACATTGTTGCAGCAGGAAATAGGAACCAATCCAAAAATCCAGCTGAAGGAGCAGTGGTGAGAGCAGAGAGCACAAATGAATGGTTTCTCGTGATGCTTGGAGCAAGGCTGTTGGAGAAATGAGCTGGCTGCCCCCAAAGGGAATCCCCTAAGTCCTGAATGTTGAGTTTGCACTGACTTAGTGTCCATATCATTGTTCCTCAGTCTCATTCTGTTTAGGAGGTAGAGCAGAGGCTTTTGATGATCTGGCTTCAGCTTTTGTCTGCTGTTGTCTATTGAAATCACTGCTGGAAGAAAAGAGGATACGTGGTTGTTGCAGCCCGTTGGTTTCCTGGGGCAGTGCAGCAGTTTAGTGTTAACCCAGAGCAGAAGGCAGCAGAATGCCCAAGCTGTGGGCTGCAGCTCGTGGATGCCAGTTTTCAGGTAATTCTGGGAGGGCACACTGGTTGAACTTCTGCTTGCTGAGTGTCAGGAGCCCAAAAAGTTACCAACTTCACCTTCTAGGGATTTGGCAAAAACAGTTCTTCAGAGATCCCTTTTATGGTAGACAAAGAAGTGAGGCCCCCTGCTAAGTTTGAGCAACTTGATCATTTGGTGGTTTGCTTAAGGCAAGATTGCTGACTAGTAAGTCCAGACACATTGCATACACAGTCTCATGTGACTCCACTGAAGTGTAGCACTTCTCGCTTGCATAAATTGCCATTTTTTTTTGGTTTTTGCCAAGTCCATCTCTACAGCTCAAATCTATGACCGGGTATTATGAAATAATTAAATAGATAACTGTCTGACAGAATCTTTTTTTAAATTCAGAAACTCTGGATGTCATCTCACCAATTTGTATCTGCAAACAGTAGTGTTGCTTCCAGGCTACACTGAAAGTAATAATCCTGAGTTAGATGTTAGCTCCCAGGAAGCTGTGAATGGAGCCTTTTTGTGCTCCTATTGAGGTTTGTACTCAAAAGACAGGAGTCTCTGTCTCATCTCTAACGGTAGGAAGCTTTTGTTTCTTAATCAGATGTTGGGCTTCCAGGTTGAGATGTAGTTGGACCATTAGCTCCATTAAGCTGCACTGAATATTTCTGCCTAAAAATCCCTTTCTTTATATCTTTAAAGTGTTCCCTGAGGAGTAGTTTTTAAAAGTTTCAAAAAAATATCTCTGTTGGTATGTATGTTATTTTAAGTCCTGTAAAATTTCAGTGAAGGTATTAAACCAACTATCCTTTCAGGCAGCAAGAAATGAAAAACAACACTAATAAACTCCATTAAAAGCTCCCAAAACTACAGATAACGGCTTTCTATAAATAATAAAAGTCTATAATGTTGGTTTTGGAGAACACTGGGCAGCATGATGGTGCCTGGAGGCTTTATTGGTGCTAGTGCTAGCTTCGGGCAGCTCATACAAGCTACATTCAAGAAGTAGGTTCACCCCATCCTCTATAATGCTATAATCACTGCTACGGAGATGTAGGAACACATTTTTATGCGGCAGCATCTCTGCCTGCATCTTCACCTACTTTTCAAGATGCTGTGTGCATGTCCTTGTGTGTGTGTTCTGTATACAGGAGGTCTCCTTGTTCAGATGTGACAAAAACCCTCTAAAAGAGGCGCTAGGTCCCCGCTTTCTTGTCACATCTTCATCTTCTCTCAGCCCCTTCAAACAAGCTATGCTGTTACTGGGAGATTTTCTTTGTCTCCTCTTTCTATCTTAAAATGATTTACTTAAGATTTATGCCATTTTAGGAGAAGATTGGGCCTCAGCCAACAATGCAGAGTTAAGTTTGTAGTAAAATGTAATGTGTGTGAAGAAAGAGGAAGGAATTTGCTGGAGAGGTGACTTTTTGTGTGCACCAGGAGATTGGGCAGTTTGAATGTTTCATGTAGAGGTGATTGTTTGCCAGATTACATTTGAAATGCGGCTGTGTGCAGATTTCCATGAAAATTTAGTGGATGCTTTCCAGTTATTATTGCCTACATTACCATAATATCCTCTACCATACACAGATATTCCCATGCCCTCTGTCCGAGCAGTTTCAAACAAGTGCCAAATCCCCATGCCTCCCAAAATCAGCCGTCTTTTAAGGAGGGGCTGCTGCACATGAGTGCTGTCTCTAAATGGCTCTGGGCCATGCTGTTCCCCTGCCCTCGGTGGGAGCTGTGCTGTGATCTCTCTCTAATAGCACTTTCTTTCCCTCCCTTCCCCTACTGCAGACATGCCTCGAGTTGGAGCGATACCTTCAGACTGAACCACGGAAGATCTCTGAGAGCTTTGGTGAGGACTTGGACTGCTTCCTTCATGCCTCCTCAGCTCCAGATGCAGAGGACAGTATCCGACGGCTGGATCCCATTCTTTTGCCGGTGGAGACGAGTATGTGTGACAAAAGCGCCAACATGGACATTATCCTCTCACGGGACAAGCTGCTGTCTGAGACGTGCCTCAGCTTGCAGCCCACCAGCTCTTCCACAGAAAGCTACACGGCCGTTAACCAGGCCCAACTCAATGCAGTAACCTCATTAACACCCCCTTCCTCTCCGGAGCTCAGCCGCCACCTCGTAAAAACCTCACAGACTCTCTCGGCGGTGGATGGCACAGTGACTTTGAAATTGGTGGCCAAGAAATCTTCCCTCAGCTCCATGAAAGTGAGTGTAGCGGCAGCAACCGCGGGGACAATAAAGAGCGGGCAAAGTGACAGTGAACAAGGAGGACCAGGACTGGAAGCATCTCCAGAAAACAAGAAGAGGGTTCACCGCTGTCAATTTAATGGGTGCCGGAAGGTTTATACAAAGAGCTCCCACCTAAAGGCTCACCAGAGGACTCATACAGGTACTTGTGTAGGATGCTTCTTTCATCTTGTCCTCCTGCCACCTAACTGTAACCATCTCCTTTCATTTTCATTTAGAAAAGAGAAAAAAAATCTCTTCTGAAAAGTCCAAGCCTCCATCTATGAAACAGGGCAATGGAAAATTATGGCAGGCCAGCAAATATCTCCTCTTTTCAACAGAATGGAGGAATTCGCGGTCTACCATCAATGCATTGAGTTTTCATGTGCCTTATGGGGCTTGATGGAGAGTAATTTTAGGATACTTAAAGGGTGGAAGATGTATCATTTATTGTAGAACTGTGGGCATGCCAATTTCGGTTTTCTGCATTCAGTTTCCCAAGACAGCTTTAAAAATGTTAATTTTAGTCAAGTGTTAATTGCTTCAAATAGAAAATACTGTGGGTAGGTTTTTGCTGCTTTTTGTGTAGGAGAAAGGAAAAAGCATATTTCAGTTTTGAGATATGCAGTTTAGGAATAATGTTTGTGTGAGAGGAAGCTTGTGTGTAGATGCAGATGTGTGCATACACAGATGCCGTACCCTTGAGATCTCACTATTTTGGGCTACACTAGTGATGAAATACAGTGAGAACAAATGGGAGAATTGCATGGAGTTTGGATGGAGTAGTAGATAGAGAGGGAATAGGATGTATGGAAAGATACCAGGCAGTTATTTTGGATAGTATTGATTAATGATGCATATAAGCTTTACTGTGTAAGTGTCTTGAAGCATAGCAAATTGGCTTCAGTTTGGCTGTTCAGCATCCCTCCTCTCCTGTCGTTTGTTCACAGTCCCCAGTAGCTTTTCGGCTGGCATTCATTGGCAGTAATAGCCGTGCAGCTTGCTAGCGTTGCTGCTTTGTTCTAAGTCTCACATGTGAGATGATAAATTCCCATTAGCACTATCTTATCATGTGATTATTCTTGTTTCCAGAGGGATTGCTGTAATCAGTTTTCTCAATTTTACTGTAAAATGTGTGGTCTCCTACAATAACTGCACATTTAATTCATGATCTTATCATGCACGCAGATTCCTAGAAGCGAGGTGGTTCTTGCAAGGTAGAAAATAACATGTTGGACCGGTGCAGTAAATCAAACAAATGTGTGGGCTGTTAAGAGAGCTGCATCCATCATGTACTAGGCAGCACTGTAAAAGTTACATGGTCTGAAGTATAAATCATATTAAGACATAAAGGCATTGTTTCTGATCTTTTAATATGTGCTTTCTAGTGCTTTTACTGGAGATAGCCACCTTACCAGGAGTGACCTCTCTCTCAATTCCGTGATTTCAAAGCCAGTGAAAATAGTGCTTTCATTTTAAAACCTGCAGTGGTACAGTCAGGAGGCTCCTTGTGCTGCCAGTGCTGCTGTGAGGGTAACCACAGAGACACAGGCTCCACCAGGGCTGCCCAGGTGGATGTCCCAGAGGAAGCCTCCCTGTGAGCCAAGGGCACATCTATCCTTCCTGGCATATGTTTGGGCTGTGAGTTGGCACGATAACCTGTCTGTTCAGATGTGGCCCCTGCGTTCCTCTTCAAGCTGCAAGTGACAGTCTTACACGGCTGTTCCTGAAGTTAGCCAAGGATGTTCACCTAGGTGGATAAACTTGTGGAATTTCTATGTTCTTATCACCCAGCAGGTGGCAATGGGGACAAAGAATCCTGAGAAAACTGTTAGCCACTCTTGCAAGACCTCCACCCTTTGATGTCAAAATCACACAAGATTTTGCATGCTTTTGAACCCATCCTTAGGTCTGGTCAAATTTTGTGTCCTTCCCCTGGATAACATCAACATGTCATGTCTTGTGCTTTACAGTTATTCCACGATAAGAAACATTTCTCACTAACATCATGATACTTCCATAGAACAGCCTTAGACTGCACACAGTGCCATTGTTGTGTCGGTGTCCATCCATCCACAGCAGTACTCAGCATGGTATGGGCAAGTCCATTTGCCAGCTGATGGGGGAGACCTGTATTGGGATGAAGGCACTGCACTATGTGGATACAGCACCCATCACTTCACATAGTGGGTTCTGCTCTCTGCCTAAGCTTGCTGGTTAAACCATGAGTTTAGCCAGTCTGTAAACTATTTACTGGTATGTGGAGTTGTTCTTGATTTCATCCACTAAGTTCAAGAGAGGCAGCAAAGGTTGTTAGGGAAAAACAGGAAAGTAGTAGAAGAGAGGCAAGACAGAAACCCAGAGGAGGAGCCCTCCTCTTTGCAGCCAAATAAGCATCCTATACTCATTTACATCCCATCTGTCCACAGCTGTGTAGAAAACATGGTTTGATTTTGCAGCATGGACTTGATGCATCGTCGTTGTTAAACTCTTTGCTACAGGTGCTGGGAGCTGATAGGAACCTGACTCCCATTGCACACAGAGGAAAGTTCAAAGTAGCTGAGCAATCTGAGTGAATGCTGGGGAGTCGTGTGATAGGACTATGTAACTAGCTTATTTGGGTCCAAGCACAAAGTCATTTAGATCCCTTTGTCCCGTTTCAGTGCTCTGTTCCTTTGATATCACTAACAGCAATCAGAAGTGGCATAGTCAAGACATTACGTCTTTTTACTCTGACCTCTGCAGTGGGGTTACCTCACAGGGAGCTCTGGAGCTTCCTGTAGAAGAGAGGTACAGAGGGGGCTAGCTGTGGAAATTTGGGATTGAACTGTAAATGGCAGGGCTGCTTCCTTTCCCATGCGCGCCTTCGGCAATGGGGACAAGCAGCCCTATTCTCCATCAGTGCTTTGTTTTTTTGTGGCCGGTGAGCCGTGTGTCCTGTAAGTTTTGAATGCACCCAGCAGTGCCAACAGCTAGTAGCCACTAGGCTTAGTTAGTGGCTGAGCCAGGGGGTCTGAAATGATTGCAAGATACTTTCCTTCGGCTGGTAGCTTGTTAGTATGTCACGAGGGAACAGTCTGCCAGTGTGAGCTCTTTGCAAGTGGGCATGAGCGCTCCAACAGACAAAAAGGTCTCAGTGTGGGGCAGGGAGGTAGATGTGGGCTGGTCACAATTTGCATGTGCACTACTTGCTGGATGAAAGGGATTTACTGCCACGCATGAAAACAAGAAAGCCACAGGCCGGGGAGCTGCGGGGTGGAAGGCAGCGGAAGGAGGTTGCATTCCTTTCGTTCATACGTAATGCTGACCAGACAGAGGCTGGCTGGCCTTCCTCACAGCAGGATGAGCCAGACGGGGCTGGAGGCAGTGCAGACTGATAGCAGCTCGCTGGGTTGGAACCCAACTCCTGCGGCTTCGCTTCACTGGAGAGCCGAGACAGTCAGATCCCACGTTGCTTGTGGTGCTGTGCAAGCCTCTCTAGTTGTTCTCCTGTATCTCGTCCATTCAGAAATTAGGACAGTTCTGTAAGGCCCATCAATGGTTGAACTGGTTATGAAAACAACTTCTCAGTGACCTTTGGAGAGGGAGAAACAATTATCTTTCTGGGGGAGAATTTAATCTGGAAGGGAAAGGGGAAACATTGTCTGGGTGAAATGGGAAATCAAAACATTCGATTGGATTCGAAGAAGTCTAGAGCACCTAAAGTGAAGGACGTGTAAAGGAGCTAGGAACAGTGTCAGGACTGTCTGTCTGTCTGTCAGAGGGCAGCAAAGAGGTCATGCCGGGGTGAAGTGGTGGCTGTGCTTGTAAACAGGAGCTGTAGGATTGGAAAGGCTGTGCTGCCAGCATGGGGATGAAGGAAAAAAAAACCTAGCAAAAGAGCCACTGGGGCTGGCACTGTAACCCAGCTCTAACACATTCTCTCACACTTATTCATAGAGCAGACATCAGTGTCTCCTTTAAGAGACAGGAATTCTAGTCCAGTCTTCACACAGGCATGGAGATGAATTGCCAACATAATGGAGAACAGAGAGGAAGGGAATTAGCGTGAGCCAAAGAAAATGTATAGTCATCAGTACTTCCTAAATTAGAAAACAGGATATTGCTGGTGAGTATCTGGATGCAAATATGTCTAAGGGGGAGCTGACCTGTGACCTATGGACAGATTAGTCATGAGGAAGTCGCTGATTCCCTTGGATCAAAGACCTGTGGAAGAGATTTCTATCTCCTGACCAAACAGCTCACATCAGCTTTCCTTGCCATAATGTACAGGGGAAGGTATGAGGTGACATGGATGCTTTATGGCCAGAGATAAAGCATCATGTATAATCTAACCAGGAAATCCTGAAGATTGTGGTAATGATAAAGAGTGACCCCCAGAGCATCCTGGGGTTTGCATTTTGTGAGGATCAGGTTTTCAGTTTTTTTTAGTTTACACACCTAAAACCAGGATATCTGATATAGCCTCAAATTAACTCCAATTAACGTAAGTTTGCCACCTCACATCTTTACTTATGTTTCTTAAGCCAAAAACAATCAGGAGATGCCCACATAAACAGATAGTAGTAGTCTACATACTGTCTTAAGATAGCTCTTATTTAAGTGGAGTTTACTTCACGTTGTCATGACATCTTATTTTAAATTATGCAGTTCTTTGATCCAAAGTGCTGGGTGAGAGTAAGCAAAACAAATAAATCCACCCTGCAGGAAAACACATTACTATGTTTGAAAGAAAAAGACAAGAGGTACACAAGAGTATTAGAGCATTAAAGAAAGGAAGGATTTTAAGGTGGGATTTAAAATGACAGAGAAGAGTTTTCCAACATTGCTGGGGCTAGAAGTGGAAGTGTCAAGAATTTGGAAATGAAAGAATTGAGGTGGGAAGGCTGGATGATAAATGAAGAAGATTAATTTGAAGTGAAAGAATAATAGAGAATATGAAGACTCTATGCATCAGTGATAATCCATGGATGGAAGCTGCAGTGCTGTGTTGTGCTGATGAGGTGGCTCTGGTGAACAGAGGGCCAAGGATGAGAAAGAGAATACAAGTGGCCACACAAAGCACTAGTTCTGCAGGATGCAAGCTTCTGAATAATGAGTAAGGGAAAAACGATTGGGAGAAGAGTATATCTAGAACAGGAAGACTAACAGCCAGGGCCCGGG